GGGGGGGAAGTGTAGCCTGAAACAAAGCCTTAGTCGATTGGATCCCAGATGGCTGCTTTTCTAGCCTGAAGTGAGAATATTGTGAAGTGGGGTCAGTCTTTGGTACGGCAGTTTTAATGTGTATAATTAAAGTGTCACAGTTGTAAAGCTAAAACCCTAAGCTTGTTAATTTCCTTTGTTGGGCAAGGAAGGAGCCACTGTTTTTTCATTTTTGCTTCCAGCCCTTTAATGGCTGTTACACATAGCTAAAGCTAACTGTAAAGCTCAACCTAAGTTGAACTGGGACTGTACGCACAGAATGTGGTTCATATGGGAGTTTGGGTAACATAGGAAAGCTCTGTTTCTCTATAAAGCTGTACCCAGCGTTCCTTGTAGGATATTCTCCACTGGTTGCTGTTAGAGTTGGTTAGGTGACTTTTAGTAGAGTTCAAGTATTTCCTTCTTTTAGGAGTAGGAACTGCGAAAGTGATGGAAAAAACTCCTCTAATTTTCCATTTTTTCCATAGAAAAAAAAACATAAAGAACTGATGTCAGGTGTAACTTGGGGGCAGCCTGGTAGTGAAACTTGATGTAAGTGCTTTGTTGCCTAACTGAAAATGTAGACAAGTGTAAAAAACACTGAGTGAGAGAACTAGCGGTTAAAACTTCTTCTCCAGAATCTTAACACTGTTTTATTGACTTCCGTACCAATAGTCAAAGGATGTGTGGTGTTTGCTTGCCTGTACTGGTTGATTTTTCCTATTTGTGCCAGAACTTAAGGCTCTGAAAGCTACTCATATTGGATCTGTGTGTCATTTTAGATACAAGGTTATTTATCCATGTCATTAATTTTTTTTTATGTGGATGGAATATGTAAACTAGTGATGAAGAGATGTTTTTATTTAATCTCATCTGGTAAAGTTACAGCATTACTGAAGTCTTCATAAGAACCCTTCATTTAAGGATGTTATCTCAAGAGGCAGCGGGTGAAGATGTGATTGGCCCAAAGTCACACAGTAAGATGGTTCTGGTGCTGAAAATAGATTTTAAGTCTCTTAATATGCAGTGTTGTTCCGAGTACCAGAAAATGGTTACTTTCTGTATAATGAGTAATTTGCAGCACAAATGTATTGATCATCCTAAACAGGTCTTGCAATAGTTGTTAATACTGCTACGGGGTCTCCTTCTCCCTTTTAATTAAAAGGGCATTCAGAAACTGATAATTCCATTTACAAACCAAAAGCAGAAAATGAGTAAATATTTTTTTTTCCTCCCTTGATACTTAAGATGCACTCTTCTGTTTAAACATGGTAGCGAAAGTTCTAATACTATAGCTTTTTAATAAGTGACATTATGGATCATATAGTTAAGGAAGGATCCCGATTTTTTTTTTTTTCCCTCAATGCAAGTTCTTTTCTGTGTTTTTCATGTCCTTGCCACTCTGAAGGAATCCATATTACAGTATTCCTAAATATTAAGGTACCTCCACATTGCTAATATTAATGAAGTAGGGGCATAGTTCATGGGCATGTGACTTCAGAAGAGGGCTTCACATTAACTGCTACAGGAGACTTGTGGCCTGGAGTGGTATTTGGAATTCCCCCAGGAAAGTGAAATGTTTAAGTGTCTGCTAAGACAAGAGAGATGGCGCTTTCTTTGTCCATGGAACTAGTACATTGCACAGTGCTTTGTAGAAGTGTATGTATAAGTGGGGTAAATGACATGGTGGAGCACAAGAATTCTTGTATTAACTTTTAATTCCTAGCAACTTTAACATGAAGCTGTTTGATAGTCATTCTGCAGAAATTCTTGCACAGAGAATTAAGGAATTCTGAATCTGAAATCTGGGACTGAAATGTGACTTTCTGTTTCCACTGAATTCTGAACTCTTCCCAGTGTACATTTTTCTTCACTTCTAATGCCCCAATTTCTTCAATTGATCTCTTTTTTTTTTTCTTTTTTGGTTGTAGGATGAACTTTTTCATGATTTGATTGAAGAATAACTGTTTTCATGTATATGTGCCTGTCTGCCTTTCATAGCACTCTGTGTAGTCTTGCATTCTGTGTGTAGAAACACATAGAAAAACAATTTCTACATATGTGAAACACAGGATTTCTGATTAATTCTGATTGTGGGAGCTGTAGCAATTTTATTATCCTAAGCACAAAATGAATTTGTGGTATTACCCAACTCCAGAAGCTATTGAAGTATTTCAATATCAAATAATAGTTAGACTTATTATTATAAATGAAGCTAAATCACTTAATTGGCTTCAGACTTTCCTGAGACTCAAAAAATCACTAAGACGTCCCTGTCTTTTTGTAAGTAGAAATGTGTTGGAAGTGAATTTGGCAAATAGGCTTATTACATAATTTGGTGCTCTACTGCATGCAGCTCCTAGTATTTTCAGGATATGTAAAGATTGTTTGATTGCCTTCCTGACTTTCTGTTGTTTATCTTTACTAGTTTCTGCTTTTTGTGCTGCAGCTTAAAGAAAGCATTGTATAGCAAAACCTTTCCTGGTATTACAGAAGTTGATTTTGTAGGATACATACCAAGATTCTTCATACTTACGTTATGAGTTAGCATAGCAAAACATCCAAGTTGATGCATGTTGAGAGCAGAAGACAAAGTTATCTTCCTCTAGATTCAGTATGTCTGCATACAGAGGACACTTGTTTTAGCTTTTAGTTTGACTCCATTTATTGTTTTAAGAGATGATGATGATGAAAAAGCATTTCACATAACTGGGTGTGAGTCAGCTGTTATCACAGTGGGGTTGATAGTGAAAGCTGAATGAGTCAAACCTGACTTGTTATCCTAAAAGATTGCCCCTTGAGCGTGATTATTTTACAGGATAGTTTAGCTTTTCAAGTATCGGGTTAAGGTAAGAGGAAGTGAACCTCTAATAGTGAGAACTTTTATTCTGGATACAGTTGCCTGAGAATGTTTCCATTGCCTGCCTTGGACAACATGTCAAGAAAATCTATCCCTTCAGCATGCACAGACAGCCTTTTCTGAGTAATTAGTAATTCCCAATCCTCTTTTAGCCTTTTTTGAATGTTTTGACTGCAAGTCTTTAGCAACCTTTTTTTATTCCCTTCAGTTGTTGATTATTCTGTGCCTTGCCTCATTTGTTGAGCTACAGTTACTGCAGTGTGTAATTGTGCTGTGGCTAGACTTAGCATTTTATGAAAGCATAAAACGAGTGAGAGTTAATTTAACCTGTCTTTTTCAGAATGTTGCATGGGAAGTCAATACTTGAGTTACGAACTCTGGAAGTCTGAGTTACTCTTGGTGATAGGGATCCTTCTCAGCATTACAGCTGTTATTTCTGGGAGGGTGGTGTGAGCAAGAGCAACAATTCTCAGCAATTCATGAAATTCTTGTCATAAGTAGGATATTTTAAATTGTTGGTTTGAGAGAATGTTTATTTAAGCTGTCAATATATAATAATGGATACATCTTTTGCATGCTGTGTTGTATTAAGGGGTAGTTTTTGAGCTAGCCTTAAGGTAAACCTAAAATAAAATATATTTTATTTTATTCAGAGAATTATCTGCAGTTCTGTTTGTCATAATTTAGTGTTCAGTGGTAATATCACTACTGTTTTAAGGTTGTACATGCTCTTATCTTGGTTTCCTTGACCAGTAATTCAGCCAAAACTTTTGGAAGGTCCCCATCTAGAAAGCAGAGCTACTCTTCTAAAAATGAAAACTCCGTGGAAGAAAGTTTTGAGGATCTGCTCTTGAAGTATAAGCAGATACAATTAGAGCTTGAATACATTAATAAAGATGAAAGACTGGCTTTGAGCAACAGGGAAGAAAATGAACAAGATGATGATAAAACAGTGGACACTGAGGACCAAGTAGCTGTAGAAAATGACAGTATTACAACGGATGCTATGAAAGAAGTATCTCCTGAGGAGAAAAATCCGGTTATAGCTTTTCAGGCATTCGAATTGAAACCTCTCAGACAAAAACTGCCTACTCCAGCTGAGAGGAGCAGATTAAAAAAAGTCAAAGAAGGAACGAAACAGTCATCACAAAAATCTGAAGTCACAGAATCTGGCCAAGGTAAATACTTGTAAAATTGTTTTAGCTTGTAAAGTTCTTTTTGCTTTCCATTGTTTATTCTATTTATTAGGTATTGGGGAAAATTTTACTTTAACTAAAATACTAATTTTAATTAAAATAGTAAATGTTTTAAGTTATAGGTTTAATGTACTTAATTCCTGTTTTTTGTAATTCAAGGAATTACAAGACTTGAAGGTTTTAATTGCTGTCCACAGCAGAAATCATTGGCTTTCACTTAGTTTTCCTGCTGTTTTTCCCTTGTTCTTTTTTGCAGAAGCAAAACATGGGGTTTTTTTTTTAGCTTAAAAGATAACATTTAGAGATATCTTTTTCTGCATTTCATCTTTGTTACATGGTTTCTTCAGTGTAACAAGCCTGTATGTGAGATTTTAACCAGAATTATTTTGGTCGTAATTGGTATTCATGAATAGTGAAGAAATCGTAGGCCAGAAGTATAAAGGATTTGTAGAAGAAACGTAGCTGAAGGGTAGAATAACTGTCTTGTCCAGGTAGTTCTGGACTGTCGGCCAAAGAGGGTAATTGCTCAGTTGCATGAAGCAGTTAGTGAGAAACAAGTTATTGTGTCCAGCTGACCTGCGGTAAAAGTCCTTGAGTCTACTTTTAAGTCTGCAGCAAAGTAAAGCAGCTAGCTTAAACTTTGTATTCTGAGGCTTCATCTGGTTCTAATAAGCGTTTGCTGTGGTTGAGGGTGTGCTGCTGGATATCACTTGTCATCTTATGTTAGCTAATTTGTCAATGTGTGTAAACTATCAATTTGAGTGGGAAGAGACAAAGCAGTACATGGATGGATGAAGAACACAGGTGAATAATTAGTAGGAATATGAAGGTAGGACTAGAACATTGAAAGTCAGAATGATTTATACATCACTTCAGGGTGAAACTTCAGAAGATGAAGCCTGTAAAGAAACCAAAAGAGAAAACTGATAATTAGTAGTCAAACCACCTCATTCTAGATATTTTTCCCCTTGTGTCTTTCTCATTATTTAAAAAAAAAAGTTCTGGTATTCTTTAAGATGTCTGTACTTTTTAATGGGAATCATGGGGAAAAACAACTGATCTTGACCATAGAAGAAAAACCAGTAGCCTGCAGGAAGAGAGCATAGCAAGGCAGGAGTAAAAAAGGTATTTAAAAAGCAGAACAATCTCAAAAAAATCCAACTTCAAAACTTAGAAGCACTGAAGTTGAAAGTGCAGTTCATGTGGTAGTGAAAATAGATGCTGTAGCACGTGCATTAAGAGCATCTCAGTTTTTGCACACTACTCAAATATATGACATAAGAATGATCTGAAAGCAGACAGATTATGTATGAGTGACTGTGTGTGGCAATGTAATGCAGGCTTCCAAAGTAGAAAAACCCAGCTGATTCCAGGTATTTCAGATTAATGTGTGTCAGGTGAATGTATACTACTTGATTATGCATATGTTAAGAAATCGGCAAAATTTGTTTTTCCTCATTATATTTACTTTTAAATAGCATACTGGATGTTTTTCCAGTCCTGTTCAAGTTGAAGAAACTTGTCTTAAAACTCAGGGAAGTTTATGTCTCATTCTAGAATTAATTCTCTGTGGTTCAGCTGCTTTGACAGAAGGTTTACAGTATTCGCTGCTTTCCTTCCCTTGTTGCCTGTTAGTGTTCTGCCAGTGTTTAAGAGTGTTTTAGCTTGTGTAGTATGTCCCTGCATATATCTGCATCACAGAAACTCCTGTACCATCTATGTGTCCCTACTTTCATCCTGTGGACTGAATGGTCCACTCTTTTGAATTTTCGTTTAGAATACATGTGAGTATTAGATATTATTTTTCTTCCTCTTGTATGTGTGCTGTTAAAAAATGCATGCATGTGCAAGCAGGAAGACATTTCAGCATTTGCTACATACTGTTTTTCTTTGGTTATGAGGTCTTGGTATATTTTAAACAGTGCCTTTCTGAATGTGACTTTTTGTAAAATGCTAGGAAGAGTAAAAGCTGTACAGAGCGCAAACTTATTTTCTACCAATTTGAATTGTGGGAAGGAATCTCTCTTTGAGAAAAGACTAATACAGGAAAAGATCTCCAAGCTTCTCTCTAAATGTTTATTTCCTTCTGATGCACGTAAACATATATATGTGGTTATATATAAATTATATAAATATAAAATTTTTCTATCAATTTTATTAATATCTATTAGCTATAGTTATAGTATGTATATTACTATGGATATATGGGTTTTGGGCATTCTAACAAATTAGTATGTCAACATCTTAATGTTTATCAGGAAAGCATTACTATTTATTATTAATTTCCATAGGATAGCTCTTTTCTATTTTCCTTTGGCATGAAATGGAGCAAAGGTGTTCTTACTGCAGCTTTGGGTGTTCATATTAAATTCTGCAAAAGACTGACCAGTTGCTTAAAATAGCTGCCAGTGGAATATGAGATGCTCAGGACAGCAGCTGATACGAGATGGTAGCATAAAACAGATGGCAAGAAGCCTTCTTTTCCCCTTGTCTCCAAATCTTTTTTTCTCTGCTTCTTGGGGAAGTACATGTCAACTTTAAGATGGAGAATTACTACAAAATGACAAATCTTGCCTTAGGCTTATGGCGTCATGATGTTGTGGATTTCATCAGACATGCCAAGCTTATATTGATGTTTGTTAATGTGCTCTTATACATACAACTGCTGTTCTGTTTTACACTATGTACCAATGCTACTGATAAAATATGTTTGTATGGATTAAATTTGCACAAAATTTTAATGAAGCGCTGTCTCATGAGAAACAGCTCATTCAATTATGTGGTATTTTTCTTTTGGAAGGTGGAGAAGGCAAAGAACAAACATCAGTGCGAAAGCTTAGCAGTTCAGATGTTATATCTGAAAAGGTAAGAAAGTATTCCTCTGTAGATGAGGCATAATTGCATTATGTTAGTCCAATAGCTTTTTTCCAAATTGCAGTCCAGAAATGTTTCAGTAATGGAAGCAGTCCATTCTTAAGGAATGATACCAGTACAGTAGGATTTTTAAGCTTTCTCCTGGTAAAAATTTTGGGACAGACTTCAAAAGGCTTTTTCAGAAAAGATTTAGTTATTAAATGACGTTTCCTGACTTTTTGTCTTATCCTTTCTTCTCTTTTCTTCTCAAGAAGCTGCTTGATGATGAGGAGGAGATGTCTGAGTTGCAACTTAGGCTTCTTGCACTTCAGTCTGCTAGTAAAAAATGGCAGCAAAAAGAACAACAGGTGATGAAGGAAAGCAAGGAAAAATTAACAAAAACGAAAAGTGTAACACAGAAAGTCAAAGCCAGTACAAAAGCACATTCAACAAAAAAAACTAGTGCTACAGGTAATAAGTTTAATGTTACTGAAATGGCTACCAATGGCATGACCTCTGAAATAAAAAATATTGGGCAATGAGCCTTTAATCCTTCTAAAACCCCATATGTCTATTCAAAGCTCTTAAAGAATCTAGGATTAGGGGGAACCATTTAGGTAAGGTGGAGTTAATCACAGATCTTTTTATTTAAAGCCAAGCAAGCTTTGAGAAAACAACAGACAAAGACATCAAAGAAGATACAGCAGCAAAAGGAACAAGACAGGCGTCAGAAAGAGGAAGACCAGAGGAAACAAGAAGAGGAAGAGGAGAGAAGAAAGAGAGAAGAAGAAATCAGAAAAATTAGGGACCTCTCAAATCAAGAAGAGCAGTACAATCGGTTTATGAAGCTAGTTGGAGGAAAGAGGAGATCGAGAAGCAGGGTAACATTTTTTTATACGGTGTTCAAGTGTTACATTTGTGATTCATGAGTGATTTCTGTCTTTATGACCCTCCTGGTTCTATATTCCTCCTTCACTGCCTCCCTTAAAAGAAAGAAAAGCTCAAAGCATTTCAGTGTTCACAATGTTTTAATCCCATGCTAGACAGGCATTACCAAACCTCTGGGTTTGGTAAGATCAGTTTTGCATGAGTTGAACATTTGCAAGTCAGTGGTAAAGTATTTTCCTCCTAAAGGTATTTTGAACATTGTGATCAAAGAGCAGTCTGTAATTGAACACAAACCAATCAACCAAACTTCCTTGGCTTTCTTGTCTTGGATTGCAGTTTTGTCTCCACATTTTCAAACTTTTTGTGTCTGTACAACTTCAGTGGCCGCCTCCTTTCAAAATGTAATCTGAGGTTTGGTTTCTTTGTAGTGTTTTTTAATTTGCCAAGGTACAAAATATGCCCAGACACAAAAGATTGACCTCATTTACAGGATGACAGAGTTGTGTCAAATTTATGAGGGAATACAGTTACTGCAGTGGTGATCATGCTGCACTTGTAGGTGGCCTTCATTCTCTGATCTTCAGATTGGCAAAAGGCACTTGAATAGTGTTCTTCCTCTAGAACATTGGTACATTACAGAAGAAAAATGACTGTGTTTCTTCAGCATTAATGCTTTCATCATGGAAGTAGTACAGCTGCTGCAGCTAGATGTTTCAAGTGCTTGGAGCTACTGATGTGCTGTAATGAGAAGTGAAACCACAACTAAGGGAATGGTGACTCCCTATTTGAGGTTATAAATGGGGCTCTTGTATAATAATGAGTGGAAAATAGAGGCTAAAAGTGTTTAACTGTAAACAGTAGAAATTTTGAAAGCTACTGAAATGTCTACTGTATGTGTCTGAAAGATACAAACTGAGGAGTCTTAAGAAGCCATATTTACCTGTTCTGCATATTTTCATTGTTCACTGAACATTGATTGGCAACCATATAGTGTTAAGCATTCTTTAAGCAGTCTGATTTATTAGTTGACAGTCTCTGGGCATGTTTTAGTGGTATGTGGTTCCTTCTGGGACAATAAAAGGGTTCTCCACCTGAGACATCAGTCTTAGAACAATCAGAACATATTTCACCTAAACACACAACGTTTTTCATAGTGAAGATGATCCTTGTGCAATTTTGTGTTGTTTCTAACAAGGGTTGTTCAAGTGCTCTTGGTAATTGCCATGACAGATTAATTCTCTTTCAGTGTTTCAGAAATATATAATACCATGGCATTTTACCAGATACATAATGACCTCACAGGTATTTAAAAATTGCTTCTAAGTATCATGACTCCCCTCATGGCAAAGAGATCCGTTTTTAAAACTGCCTATTCATTTGTCAAGTCACTACCTGCAATGGATTTGATTAAAAGGTAATCTTCAGTTTGCTCTTTTTGTATGAGCTAGGTAAGCTGTATATGTAAAGCAGTTGGAAGACAAAATTATAAAGGCCTGTTTCTAAAATTTACTTCTAACTGGTTTGCTCTAAAAGAATAACATAAGACTAACTAAATAAAATACACTTTTTTGTGTGTTTAGTCTTCAGATACAGACTTGAGATGGTCTTTGGATAAGCAGACTACAGATAGTGCTGCAGGCGTATATCAGCATGATAATTATGATGAAGTTGCTATGGATACAGATAGTGAAACTAACTCTCCAGGTAAGACTTAGTTGCAGTTTTCTTGTATGGTAATAGATAAAAATAGCTAAAAAGTAGGGAATGAGCTATCATTTTAGGAGGAAAGTCTTTCTTTTGAGATGCGGCAGTTATAGAACTAACATCTTAAGGTGAGCTAATTCCATCTTGTTTTAATGCTGACTTTTTCCTCTCCATTTCTGCTGTGGTAGTATTTTGAAGGTCTTCAAGGTTATGCTGTTGTCATTACAGTACTGTAGAGTTTATTCTTTTACATTCCCAAGCAGCTGCATAGGAAGTAAGGGCCCCAGGGTGTTGACTAGTTAGACAGCAGCTTTGCCAAAAAGGGCCTCATGGTCCCGATGGACATTAAGAGAAATGTGACTCAGCAGCGTGGCTTTGGGTGATAAAGGCAAACTGTGGCCTGGGTTATGGCCCTGTGACTATAGTGGGTGGTTGGTTGGAGGGGGCTGTTAAACACTGACGAGACTGCATCAGTTTTCTGGTTTCACAGTAGGAGAAGGATAGTGATGTACTAGCAAAGGACCTTTTTGAATAATGGAAACTGTTTCAAGCCTGTTTGTTCATAAAGTTCACTGGGGACTAGAACACTTTATGGAAAGAGAATGGAAGAGCTGAGTTTGTGTTGAGAGGAGAAGGCTAAGGAGGGCTTTTGCTGCTGTCTTCAACTACCTAGTGGGCAATTACAGAGAAGACAGAGGCAAACTCTTCTGTGGAATGTGCAACAGAAGGACAAGGGGTAACACTTAAAGTGTAACAAGATAAATTCTGGGTATTCTGTAAGGGAAAACTGTCACAGAGGTTGATCAAACACTGGAACAGGCTAACTGGAAATGTTGTGGAATCTACATCCTCAAATATACTTGGAACTTGACTGGGCAAGGCCCTTAGCAACATGACTTTGAGGGCAGCCCTGCTTTGAGCACCTGGGGCATATGCCTTCCAGAGGTCTCTTCCAGCCTAAATCATTTTGAGTTTGAGGTACATTTAAGGTATTCAGGTTTCCTTGTTCCATCTCAACATCTGGAGTGTTGAGAAAGCTTCATTAAACATACTACCTTATTGGCCATTTTTATTCTCTTGCTTTTCATCTTTCATCTTTTTTTTCTTTTTTATCTTTTTTTTTCCCTCCTTTCTTGTCAGACTTCCTTATAAAATAGTTTGGTAAAATACTGCACCTGCTGTTTTGGACACGTAAGCTACATGACTGCTGTTGATGAAGTATCTCAAGGTCTAGTCTTATGTTTCAGAATTCAGTATCAGCTGTGTATTTGGTCTGCTTCTGTCGTAATTTGTATTGTGTTTTTGGTGGCCGGTAAACAGGAGACTCTGTGTTGAGATACCTAGTTTAAGAAGGTAGATTCTTGCAAATTAAATCAAATAGGGCTGAAAAATTCTGAATCTTTATCTTAGTAGTACTGTTTGGCTGTACTTGCATTTTGTATGTAAAATAGAAAAAGGACAGATAACTACTCTTTTTATGTACATATATGTAAGAAATAAATGCACTGTGCTGTGTCTGGTGTTAACTTTCAGATTGGTGCATAGTAAAGTCATATGTTTCCTGCTATTGCATTGAATCAGTTGAAGTATAAGCATGAGTGGGTGTTTAGTAATTACCTGTCAGGTTTCTTACACTTGATAATTTTTTTAATTGTAGCTTCTTCTCCAGTGCAGCCTCCTTTCTTTGAATGTCCAATAGGATATTTTCCACCTCCAGTACCACCAATTTCCTTGCCACTGCCACCTCCAATTCCAGTAAGTAAACTTGAAAGGAGTGTGTTTTTGATTTTGTATCTTACTTCTAATGCTAAAGTTAGTATTAAATTTAGCTTCTATTTTTTGATACAATTCTCTATTTGGTCATTCCCTTGAACTATCTAATAGACTTATGGTTGCATTTTTAAAACTCTATTTCACCTGATCCGATTCCTGTTTAATGGAAGTTATCCCTATGGAATTAAAATTGGATCTTCATTGTTAGAACTATGCTGTTTCCTAACAGAATTGCCTGAAACACATAAGGAAAAATAATTAATTGGAATTGTTAGTGCAAGGCCACTTTGCCTCGTATCTCTAGGCCACGTGTGTAGATATGCTTATTTTCTGACTTGTTACCGGGCGGGGGGGGGGAACCCGATGAAAACTTGGCTCATTGCAGTCCTTCTTTTCAGACTTTGCATTTGGACTATATGCTGTCTGTCTGCTCACCTAAAGAGTCCACATGGAAATTGGATTACTGTGATGTTTTTCCCACCACTTTTCTTCACTGAATGATTGTTACTCTTTTTAGTAAAGCAGTAGAAAGTGGTCATTCCCTGCCATGACAGCTTCTGAATTTTTGACTGGGGGAAACTGCAACTTTGTTAGCTAAGACAATTTCATAAAACTGTTTAAGGACTGTTTTTTCAAGCAGTGTGAGCCTGTTTGGTCAGCCATATTTCTGTGGCTAGACTATCTCTGCTTCTGAATTCTCATTTACGTTTAGTTTGTATGTCTGTACTACTTTACTATCCAAATGTAACCATTATCGTCTTTGAGGAATTACTATCCGTTTAGCAGCAGCCTTTGAAAGTGATATAAATCCATTGCACTTTGAATTGGTTTTAAATTGAAATAATTTAGGTCTCAGTCTCTGCTAAATAATCATAAAGCAGTAGTAATTTTCATGTTTCAAACCATTGTTTTCCTTTTTATCTCAGCCTGTACCATCTTTGAGCCAACTTTACGTGGAGGGTATTTCTTGTGTTTCTCTTGAGCCACCTCCACCTCTTCCACCTCTTCCCCCTGAAGAGCCTGAACAGCCACCAAAACCTCCATTTGCAGATGAGGAAGAAGAGGAGGAGATGCTCTTAAGAGAAGAATTACTGAAGTCTCTAGCCAACAAACGAGCTTTCAGATCTGAGGTACTCCACTGGTTTTCAAATGTAAACCTCTAGATGGCAATCTTGACCAAAACTTAAATATGACCTGCGAAGTGAGGGTTACAGGCTTTTTTTTGTGCTGCCTTTCTGATGATTTTTAAAAAAAACCAAGTAATTTCTCTGAATTTCCATCACCCTCTGCCCCTCAGAAGAACCTGAAACAAAACCCACCCAGGAATCTCCTTTGAATTGTTAATTGCAGCTTGTCTTTTATTGCTGAAGGAATTATGAAACTTCAAGGTACTGAAAATTGAGTATGTTCAGGGGAATGGGGATTTTATTTTCTGGGAAAAATTTTTTTATTTATCAGCTGTCAATTAGAAAATGATATGCTTTTTTTTCAACCTTCTAGCAAAAGGAGTTAGGAGAGGCTAACTGTTTTGTTTTTTGTTGGTCTGGTTCTTTTTGGACTGAGAAGCAAAGTTTGTGGTTTTGAAAATTTAGATTGTTTTTGACCTCATTAAAAGGTTGCAGATCTTTTGCAGTTGACCTGTGAATAACTGGCATATTCTTGCATGCCTTTTAGATGTTATTGCAGATTTGCAAGATTTGTCTAATACGTTTGGATAGTCTACCTAAATCACAGTTCCAAGACATGTATGGAACAATCTTATTTATACTCTTTTAAAATAGTTGTGTATAGTGTGTATGTTTATGATTGTATTTTTGTTTTATTTTGTTAGGAAACATCAAGTAACAGTGGTCCACCCTCCCCTCCTGTTCCAGATAACTTGCAGTCTGTGCCAAGAAGCAATCTGTCCGCTGTCAGTATTAATACTGTGTCTCAGCCACGGGTACAAAATACAAAGTTTGTTAGAGTACCAAGGCCTCCACGAGCAGTGATCACAGTAAGCAAATATTGGTGCTTTCTATTAATAAGACTATGGATTAGAAAATGTATTGAAGTTGTCCTCAGTTCAAATAAACTTAAGGTCTTCTAGTGATACAGCACAGAACAGTGGAGCTTCAGTTAAACATTTGAATTATTAGTAACTTTGATAATCACCGAATAAACACTGGCACAGGTTGCCCAGAGAGGTGTTAGATGCCCCATCCCTGGCAACATTCAAGGTCAGGTTGGATGGGGCTCTGAGCAAACATTTAGTTGAAGATGTCCCTGCTTATTGCAGGAGGGCTGGACTAGGTGACCTTTAAAGGTCCCTTCCTACGAAAAGATTCTATGGCAATCCATTTTCTCTTCTAGAAAGAATCTGACAACTGAAGTAATAATTTACAGTTTAAGAGAGCATCAAAACATGCCAGCACTAATCTGAACTAAAAGAGGCTGTAAATATAGTTCAATTAATTGCTTTTCCAGATTAGCACAGACTAAAGCTTGCTGCTCAATGGTAGCTGAGCCAATCTAATCACTGTTTGTTGCCAAAAAAGAGGTGATCTTGCTCTTTCTCCTGCTCCTGGTCAAATGGTGTGTCCTTTCTTTTAATTTGGGGTCTGGAGCATTAGTCCTGTTGCTTAACTTTTATTTAACATGCCAAACTGGTAGAAGACTAAGCTTGGTGGGGGGGGAAAGTACTTCTAGGGGGACTTGAGTTTTTTCAGTGAACAGTGTGTGAGAATCAGAGCTAGAACAAAAGTGGTCGCACATGGCATGTCTGTGAGTGCATGTGGAAGACAGAGGAGAGAGTATTCTCTTCAGGCAGCAGCACACTTCGTTACATTAATTCAAGCCATATTTTGTAACTTGACCTTCTTTTGAATGGTCAAGGGAGGTATGTGCAGCTAGCATTTGGTTTGTGATGTCTGCAGTCTCCTTGGATTATTGGAAATGTGTTACAAAAACATACTTGCCTGTGTTATGCCAGACTGGAAGCCCATGAAATCTACTGTTCTATTTATGGCAGTGAACCATACATAGTGGGTAGTTTGCTATTATTTTAATAACACATCTTACAAAGATGGTTTGTTGTAGCTCTTTCCCATGCAGATTCTCTAATGAATAGCATAATTGAGTCTATACCTTTGTCTCCACCCAGTGGAAGGCATCTCTAATAAACTATTTTTTTTTTTTACTGAGTTTGGAGGAATATATAGTGTCTTTGAGACTATTATATCACTATCAAATCTAGCTGTAGCTGGCCAGCAGCTTTCTTGCGCATAAATACAGACTATATGATCACTTGGTCACCTGATGCCATAATGGAGGGGGGAGGGGGGGGGAACCTCACCTTAAGATGGTAGATACCTGAATGTTCCTTTTTTAGTCCCTGTAAGGTCTACTTTCCTTTCTGTAGGAATATTGTGCTCTTAAGCTTAAAGTGGATGTATTTTTTTTCTCTGTACCCATCTTCACAATCTACTTTAAATTCTAGATATAACTAAAGTAATTGTTCAATTTGGGCATGCTAATAAATCATTTCACATTTACTTACATTTTTAAGTGTTCTTACATTTAAATACTAAACCTATTGTGAAAAAACCCTTAAACTACCACATATTCTATTGCCCTGAGACTTCATTAACTGCTGTTGCAGAAATAAAGAAGAACATGTTACTGGGGAGCTGTTGGTTTGTTTTAGTAACATAATACATGTCTCATCAGCTGTGCTGTTGAAAGGCATTATGTAAATGTTAAAAAAACCTGCAACTGAAATTTACAGCCTGTTGCTAATGATGGTTAGCTTAGTTAAAGCTGACAGGTTAATACCTTATACTTGAACCAGCTAGCTTGGCTAGTGTCTTTTACAAAAATGGTTATAGAAACAAAGCATTTTGCGTTTGTTAATAACTTTTTTAAATAGCTTGGGAAATAAAACATTTATATATACAATAGGTGTGTGTTTTAAAGAACTTAAGGCCAAATAATTTTCACAGGAGACTAGTCACAAGGTATTTCTGTCCTCTGTGAAAACAATATCAATTACACCTGTTAGTATAAGCTTTTATAAACAATTTCTATTGAATGCTTCTGATTTTTAACTTTAGTATTTGGTATTTCTTATTAGAGCATAAAAAAACTTGTGCTCATAATTTAATTTTGAACTGAAAAACTGGTATTTTTTCTGTGAGCATTGTTGAATATACCCAGAAATTAAAAAACCACAAAGGTATAGAAAATGCAAATTCCTCAGGTTTTTGAAATCTAACCTCATAGTTTTGGGGTCTTGGTAGCTTTTCAGTGTTTGAGTGTATTCACCACATTTCAGAAGAGGTTTTAGACTTGGAAACCTTGGAGTTTCTTCTGTGGAGTTGAGGACCTCTGCATAGTGAAATATGCAGGTATTGGTTTGCCATTTCAGTGACATCTTGTAACTCTTTTTCAAAGTAGTCATGGACACTCAGGGGTCTGTTCACCACAGATTGAAAATATGTCTTACAACATTATGGAGAGATCTGTGTTACAGCTGAGACTGTGGTTCTGGTGCAGCAGAAGCTGATCTTACCGAAGGCAGTATGATGGTAGTTGCCTGGTGTTACTTTACTGATTGTTAAACACTTTGCTGAACCACATGAAAAAATAACACCTGGGAAAAAACACATGGAGAAAAGTGGAGTTTGACCCTCCCCACTGTTAGCTTTTCCCCTAGAAGAAAAATAGGAAAGGCAGTTAGAGACTGTTTACACAGCTGTGCCAAAAGCAGCTTGACAGCTTTGCTCTTTTAATACTAAGAGCCAGTGATAGGGAAGGGGTGTATTGGGCATCTGAAGATGAGAAGGGTGGGGTGCCTTGCCTGATTAATTTAGGTTTCCATGGAGTTACAGCTAGAGAATATTTGTGAGGAGGGGACCAATGCCTTTTTTTGTTTTCTTGCACCAATATAGATTGGAATTTCACATACCTGCTCTGTGGTGGTGCTGAAGTAGTAGATATGATCCTTATTTTAAGGACCATCAAGAAAGAGAATACAGAGAATATAACAAAAGAAATTATTGTGGAAATTCAGTCTTTTTCAATTGAAAAAGTAGGGGTGTGTGCCTTAAAAGACACTTGGAGCTTTGAAGAGGTCCTGTCCTGAGGTAAAGGTTAAGTGTCTTAACTGTAATTGTCCAGACCTGCACTGGGAGATGGGAAGAGCAGTCCTGGAAATGTGAATTGAGTTGCTTCTTGTCAAGCTGTAACTCCAGATCATTTGAAGTTAAGCTAAGTTGTCTGCTTGTTTCTGCATCTTTCTTTGTGCTGGAATTGGCAGTCATCTGATTTTCAGTGAGCTGTTTCTGCTAGTGATGTTGGCAAAAAGTGATTGATCTTGTTTCATCTGCCTGAGCAGCTCACTGTAAGGTCAGCTAAGTATAACTGTGTATCTGTCTCTAACTTTTTCTTGTTGCTATAAAACTTTTTTCATTCTCCTCACAGCTTCCAAAACACAAGTCTGTTGTGGTTACATTAAATGACTCAGATGATAGCGAGTCTGATGGAGAGCCATCTAACTCAACTAACAGTGTATTTGGAGGACTAGAATCTATGATAAAAGAAGCAAGGAGGAATGTTGAGGTAAACATTATCAGCATTTAATAAGTTTATGTTGTAATGATTTTGCTTTATATATGGAATTTAAACTTTAGAATTTGGTCAAGAAATATTGGATTACATCAGAAATGGGCAAGAGTTGAGTACATTACTCCCATCTGGACCATTACTTTGTAATTTGGATTGCGTAAGCTAATTAAAATAATTTTTTGGTAAGATGGCATCCTGAAGATAGAATTGGTGATCTATTTTGTTTTCATTTTTTCAATTAAAATTCAATGCATATTTAATTACTAGCAAAAAAATGGCTTAAAGGATCTTACTAGCCTTGAACAGCTTTACGTTTGTGCTGAAATGCCTCTTAAAAATAGTAGTTAATAGCTGTATTTTAACCTAGTGACTAGTATTGACTTGAACCTTGTTGTAACAGGCATCAAAAATCAAAGCCCCTCCAAAATCAGAAAAAGAAAATGATCCAATGAGAACTCCAGAGGCTCTACCAGAAGATAAGAAGATAGAATACAGACTACTAAAAGAAGAGATTGCCAGGTACAACTGAATTTAAATACAGTAAAATATATATTTTTTTTGTAGTCCTATACTACTCTATTTTTGCAACTGGAAGGAAAATCCAAGTTTGCAAACTTTTGCCATTACCTTCAGGTTTTTCTCCCACTCAATTCTTAGTAAGACAACATTGGAGTCTAAAGGAAGTCCTTGGATTTGAACTGACTTACAGTGGTTGATTGCAGTTGTGGAAAGTTCTTTTTCTTTTAACTTGAAATCTTGTCCTGCTACTTTTTTTAAGATTTGAAAACTGTTGTAAGTACACAACAAAGTGAATGTTGAAGCTACTGAGTATCTTTGTTTATAACATCTGTTTTAGTCGTGAGAAGCAACGTTTAATTAAATCTGATCCACTGAGGAACAATTCGTCCCCTGCAAATTCTGATGGTGAAGTTGATGGAATTGGGAGAATAGCAGTAGTGACAAAGCAAGTTACTGAAGCAGAAGCAAAGCTTAAGAAAAACAGGTACATATTACACTGTCCTACCTTGCTTGCTTAACAGGATGAAAACAGTAAATAATCTTTTAGAATATGTAGCATTTAAATTACAGCAAATGATTGGTTTTCTGTTGTCTTGAACTATTCAGTCTCGATTTCTATTGCTGTACAAAAGGAATTGTGTTGTAGTGCCAGTGTGGTGTTTGGTGGTAACTTAAGTATGATTTGTCATGCTAACAGTTTTCAGCTGTGTTTATGTTCAGTGAATATAGAATGTCATCTGTGCCACCTAATGACTCTGAAATAGAAAAAATGAACGTGCCTTTCACTACTCAGTACACTTTGAGGGTAGCATGTTTCAATGGGATATGCCTGATATATATAAATAAGTGTTTCTGCAGAACAGGTATGCTGTTTGAAGCTTTTCCTGTATGCCTTTTCTCTTTAGGCATACCTCTTCCATGTTTCTCGTGCTTCCTCCAAGTTACTGTGGAAAATAAGTGCTTTGCATCCTTCTTCTCTGCTTCTGTTGCTGCTTAATTATCTCTGTGTGGTCTTGTGAACAAACTAGTTGGTGGTCAGACATCAATTGAAGGACATTCTTCCCCCCTGCCTTTATTCATACCCATCCATCTAAGTCTTTATCTTCCTTCCTCTAATGTATAGCTTTCTGTACTTAATTACTCTGCTATTATGCCATAATGCTGTGGCTTGTAGTCTACTAATGTGTGTATGTGCTCTAAGGAAGTATTGGGTTGTTACTTAACAAAAGGCAAGAACGTGTATTTTGGATGTCTTAATGTTAAAAACAGTATTAAAGATACACCACTTGCTTACCTTCCTCTATCTTCATAATTTGAATGTTTTATACTGTCATGCTGAACTTCGGATACTGAAATCTGCTGTATGTGCTACCAATATTTATTGTCTCATGGGTGCTAAGACTATCTGGAGAAACTTAGTCTGTTTTTTGTTGATAAGTGAAAAAGAGCTGGGTTCTTAAATAACTAGGTTTTCAGAGGAGCGGTGATAGTTCTGAGAAAATTCCCTTTGGAAAAAATCATGTTACATGGATTTTCTACTTCTAGACTGCTGTTGATGAAGGATGAATCTGTCTTGAAACATTTGTTGCAACAAGAGGCCAAGAAGAGAGAGAATGTTCGAATTGCTGAAAATAAAATTAACAAACTGGCTGAACAGCTGCAGGCAACAGAGAAGATCTTGAATGCTAATAAGATGTTTCTCAAGAAGCTTCAGGAACAAGTAACTTTAATTTTGAAATGTTTCTGTTTCCTAGAGCTGGAAGTCTTGAAATGGGAAACCTGATTTTTGGAGGCAGTAGACTTTCTTTGCATTAATAATTAATTAATTCCCATGTATTTTCTGATTATATTTTATTATGTGGTCATATCTGAAAATTTGCATCTTACCGTAGAATTTCTTTTTTCAGATTCATAAAGTTCAACAACGAGTTACAGTAAAAAAAGCTCTGACATTAAAATATGGGGAAGAACTTGCTCGAGCAAAAGCAGTAGCAAGTAAGGAAATTGGGAAACGAAAACTGGAGCAAGATCATCTTGGAGTAAGTCTTTTGCATGTTTTTAAACCACACTGTACAATTTTTGATTGGGAAACTTAGTTCAATGGAATTTCAGGAAAAAAGGAAAACATTTCAAAAGCACTGTACGAAGCTCTGTTCGTTTCCTGTATTTTTGAGAATGCAACAGAAAAAACATTAATTATTTTAAAAGCTGCTACATTTCTGTGCCAGGGGAATGTCATTAATAAATATTTAAATTTATATAAATAAATTAACAAATACTATTTAAATAAGTAAATAAAAGCTATATGCCTGTGAAAGAATGAAATACTTCACTGTCTGTAGATATTACTGATCGTGTTAAAACTATCTCGTAAGATGCTAAAGAGGAGACCTGATCTTGTTTTTCAAAACAAAATACAGAAAAACAAGGTGAAAATACTTTTTGTAAACTTTTTGTTTTTGTGTTTCTGCCCCCAACACCACTGTTTATACTTGTTTTATAGCTCACCTTTTACATGTGGCCAGAACTTCTGTTGAAGCCCCATACATGACATAGGGTAGTTGTTATCAAAAAACCTGCAAACCTGCCAGGTGAATTGTGGCAAACTCCTTTGTGGTTTTTCTGCTGTTTTTTGAAATTTTCTGGCAAGAGTTTAAAATACTTTTTATAAACTCTAAATTAAATATCTTGCCAATGTTTCATTTACCTCCTGTCAATAGATCAGTAAATGTGAAAATGAAATAAAGGGAATTTTTTTCCTTTTCAGCCAAGCAAAATGTTGAAATTGGAGAACTCCCCTGCATCAAGTCCAAAAAAGCATTCAGCAGAATTGATTGCACTAGAGAAAAAACGACTACAGCAACTAGAGTATGAATATGCTCTAAAGATTCAGAAATTGAAAGAGGCCCGCGCACTTCAAACCAAGGAACAATCAAATATTGCACCTCATGCAGAAGAGGAATCTGAATTTGCATTACCTCAGCCATCACTTCATGATCTTACACAGGATAAATTGTCTTTGGACAGTGAAGAAAACAACTACTTTGATGATGAAGTTCTGTCTAATTCAAACCGAGAACGAAGGAGATCTTTCAGAGAATCTAATTCTTTCACTAAGCCAAATCTTAAACACATGGACACTCCAAAACAAGAAACTATAAACAAAATTTCTAAAAAGGCATCAGAGGAGCCTGAGCTGTTCCTTGGGTTGAATATTGATGAACTGAAAAAACTTTATGCTAAAGCTGACAGCTTGAAAGAGCTGCTAGTGAAAAGTACTGCCTTTATAGTACCTAAGGAAGATCTGTTGTGTGGTCAGGTAAATGCTTTAACACTAAACATGAAGGTTGTCTCTATTAGGTGGTATTGCAATTGCTATATACCTGTTTATCTGTTTCCTAGGAAATTTCAGTGGACATGGATTTTGTTACATCACAAAATAAACAAACTGAAGTGAAACCATTTCCATTTGGACCGTATCATAGTCCTCTTCTAGTATTTAAATCGTACAGGTATGAAGACTGTAGCAGCTCTTCGACTTCTGTGTATATGTGTCCTTGTTCAAGTGTTCTTCACTGCTCTTCCTTGATACCCAGGCATGTGCAGAAAGACAAGTTGCAGTGAGAAACTTGACTGTCCTGAAACAGTTTTGTCTGATTTAGGGAACCTAATGGTTTTAGTTATTTTTCTGGTATGCAGGAGTCCCTTGCTTTTGTGCAATAGGCTGCTTTTACATTGTATTGCATACTGTTCCCTGCAACTAGATTGTTTGGTATAACCAAATGAAAAAATAATAGTTACGCATTTGAAGACAGGATTTTTATGTCCAATATGAAGCAATTTAAAATCCAGGAAAAAGTGAACAGAAGCATATTTCAGTTACGTAGTCTTTAAACTTGGCTAGGATTTACCTTGTCTGAGTTGAAATTGAGCCAATCACCTGTCTTTGGATGCCTGCTTAGTGGAAAGAGGCATGCCCACAGTGATTCACCTTGACTTAAAGTAGGGACCTGCAAGCGTAATCAGTTTGACACATCTGTCTTTGGACTAAAGAGAGCTTTGTTCCTACACATTAAATTTTAGAGAACAAAAGTCTGGAATTTAAACTGGAGCAGTTGAATCCTACCATGTGCTTCAGGTTTTTTATTTCTATACTCTTAAGTAGAGGTAGAGGATGCTATCTTTACAGGAGTATTCATTTTAACTTCTCTTAGGTTATGGCTTCAATTCCTTAAGGAGATAGAGATCCCAAAATTGACATTGTCAAACTTTAGCTAAAGATTTAAAAGAAGCATTAGTCTGCTCAGGTCAGACTGTTTTTTGGTTGTTTACACATTTTAAAATCTGATGTGGATTTCTCTCACTGTTTTTCCACGTTCATCTTCAATGGTTCTCTTTATACTTCTGTTTGATCTTATGCGACAAGAGCATGAGTGCGGTTTTTCTAGAAATAAACTGAAATTCAGTTTCAGTTTTCTTTCCCTACTGGGTCATTACTACGCTTTCGGTTTTTATATCAGTGAAGTTCTGCACCTAAGAGAGAAGAGAATGCTAGAACAGAATCTGTTTAGATTGAGAAGCACTGTTTTGTTACCTCCCTCTCTCATTGTTTTCACCTTCCTCTTCACTCGTAGGAAATAATGAGATTTCACACATAAAAAGTGATTATTTCTTTGAATGTTTTGTTCTGTAAAACTGATGTCTTACCTTGTACACTTTGTAACAATAATTCACTGTTTCATTTTAGGTTTAGTCCGTATTTCCGAACCAAGGAAAAACTGTACCTCAGTTCAGTAACGTATAGCAACATGATTGAGCCAAAACAGTGTTTCTGCCGTTTTGATTTAACAGGCACATGTAATGATGATGACTGTCAGTGGTGAGTTCTTTTTAATTTTGTTCGTTTGAACTAAACATCTCTTCTAGATGTCTAACTCAGACCAAAATAGGCTTTTTTTTTCATTTCTTAAAAAGGTCTGGATTTATGACCCTATACACAAGTTCTAGAAAAGAAAGTTACTTTTAATACCCTGTTGCTGATACTTGATTGCAGGAAAAAACCCTTTCATCTAAGCCATGAAGAAAGGAGGCTCTTTAGATGTAAACTTAGAAAAGCTGTATAGATGGTTAGAGTATGTTTTACCTTTTGGCTGATTTGTAATTCAAATGGGACTCCTCTTGCTTTATAACTTCAGCATAACTTCAGACCATCATGGAACTTCAGGTAGTGGTTGATACTGTTAAGCACACTAGAGATGTATCATGTTGCTAACTGAAATAAAGTGTGTACCAAATATTATGCGATTATGTAAAAAAACCCCAAAAACATATTGTAGTAGTTGAATTCTAGTTTTCTGAGAAAATACTGGCTAAATTTTGTTTCTTTGAAGCCTGGTGTTAAATTATACTACAAATAGTTTGTTAAACAATGTTGCACAGTATATTTAAAAAGTTGGTACAAGAGCAAATGGATATGAATTAGTTGGGAATAAACTCAATTTGGAAACTTCTAGCTACTGGAAAAATATAATAGGCGTGGACTTAAGCTTTTTTTTTTTCCCTTTTCAGTGGCAGACAGCTTTTTGAATCTGCTTTTAACTGTTACCATCAAACCATAGTTTGAATCTTCTAAGTACAAAGTGATACCTAATACTTCTAACTATCCTGTTAGAACTGGAAAGGTTTAAATACTGTGTTTTCGTGTTAGCGCGAAGTGAGTGTGTAGAGGTTTATATTAAAGAGTAAGGCTATAGTGAAATAATGAAGACTAGGATTAAGTTACGGATGCAGGCTTAAGTTTAGAGAAGACCCAGACATACTTACCTGAAATTTCAAAGCAGGCTATAGTATTTTCTGTGGGTATTGTTTTCTTTATGCCTCACCCTAGTGTGTACTAAAACCAACTTTCTAATTACAAGACTTATTAAATTGTTGCTGTGATAAATATATTAACTGCTTATTTGTTTGTTTTAGGCAGCACATGAAAGATTGCACTCTTAGCCGTAAGCAGCTGTTTCAGGATATTCTGTCTTACAACTTAGAACTGATTGGCTGTTCAGAAAAAAGCACCGATGAGGAAATTGGCACTGCCACAGGTTTTTAAGAGTCTTTTGTTCACTTTTTGTATTCAAAGATTCATTTCTGGAGGGAGTAGCTTTCATGAAAAGCTCTGGGTGCAAGGACTTTGATGTAAAGCAATGTGTAAGATACAGCTTAAAAAACCCCAACCAAACAAAAAAAAACCCCAAAACAAACACCAAAAAACCCAACAAACCAATGTTTCTGCAGTTGTCCAGTTCAGTCCTTTGTAGTGGGTAGTTACCTTGGTGTCTTACAGGAAGAAAAAATAATTGATCTGTGGAACATTTGACTTAAAAAAAAATGTTGCTGGGATTCAGGGGATTGGGGAGCAGTGGGCGTGGAATCTTTCCCTGTCCCCTTCCTCACTTTATGTAACTACTGGACTGGTCTGTTTCAGTGGAGCTGGAATTTTATAACAATGCTGTTGCCATATAGGCAAGTTGCCAAACAGAACTTTCTCAGTTTTTCATTTCTTTGTTCTAGCGTGTTAAATTACCATACCTCTGGAAGCAGTCATATTTTATGAATTCAGCATAGGTTATGCTAAACTGCTGTTAAGTTACCTATCAGTTTTCATTTATGTGTTTACCAAAGATACAAATATTCACATTTCAGAAAAATATGTTGAAAAACTTTTTGGTATAAACAGAGACCGTATGTCAGTGGATCAGATGGCTGTTCTTCTGGCCAGCAATGTCAACGAGAGTAAAAGTCACAGTAAGTAACTTGATTAGATTAAATACAATATAAACTTTTAAAGTTGTATAAGTCATCATCACCTTACTGATTTTGTAAACCAAGTATATTTTTTTGTTGCTTAGTTTATTTGTCACAGTATTCTAAATTCTGCTTATTAAAGGCAGGTAAATTAAAGGCAGAGTTTGTTTTGAGGCAATAATATAATTGTTTTGGAGTCCAATTTGAAGAATTGACTTATGCATTTGAGAGTGATAGATTTTAAATAAGTAGTGTTAGAACTTACATAACTTATACACTTGTATTGCACTCACAGAATGTTTTTATCTGATCTTTATTAGCAAAGATGTTTTAACTTTGAATACAGGAAAGTAAAAGAATTTGCTACTTTGCTTGTTTACAGCACCTCCATTTACAACATGGAAAGATAAAAGGAAATGGAGGCCAAAGTACTGGAGAAAACCTCTGTTAGATAGTAGCAGCAGTGAAGAGGAACAGTTCGTTGGACCTATTAAATATGGTAATCTGGATGTGTCGCATCCATTAAAAGAGAGTACTGGGGGAAAATACCTACTAATCTCTTCCCAACACCTAATTTTTAAAGTGGTTCTTAAGAAAACCAATGCTTTTAATAGCTCCCTTGACTTCATGTTTCCTGCATGCAAACTTAATCTTGCATACATTTTTGTGTAAAGTTTGACCTGAATTTTTAGATTTTTTTTTTTCCCTTAAATACAAATGTGTGACGAAGTTAAGGTGGAATTTCTACTTGCCTGTTCTTTAAAGAAACATAAGGAACTATTTCCCTTAAGTGTTTGGTTTGCCCATAGACCATTGGGGTTTTTTTAAATTCTTGCTTTTTTCCCCTCCCAGAACTATAAGTAGTCCTTCATGTGTTTGGGCATCTTAAATTTGTACAGTTAGTATTTGGTGTTGAGGTCAGGAGTTAAAAAAAGCTGCTGTTAAATGGCATTTGATACTTGAAAGCTTGCTAGAGTGTCAGCAACCTGGCAGTTTCACATGTGACTCATGCAAGTGGGAGCTCTAGGATTTGTTAGCAAATCCTGTAAAAAGGACTTCTAGAGACTCAGAATTGAGATAATTAGGTAGCATTAGGAAATAGACACATCTGACAAAGAAATTTAACTGCCTTAATTGGTGTCTGTTGATCAAAGCAGCCTTTTACTGCTATTTCTTTTTTGCTTTTGCATTTGAAGTATAACCAGTTTTCTACAGATTACACATTTCTAACTTTTAGAGGATGTTGAAATAACCATATTTTGCTCTGGTCAATGGCTATACATAAAACATAAATGCAACATCTTGTGTGAGTTCTAATCTTGCAGGTCACTTCTCGTTTGAAAAGACACACTGTTTTAATTTTTTTTATTTGCAGCCCATCCCACAGAACATAAAAAAAGAGTTCCAGCTCTTGATGCCGTGGTGACTCCAGATGATGTCCGGTATTTTACAAGTGAGACTGATGACATTTCCAACTTGGAGGCAAGTGTCCAAGAAAACCCCTGTGATGTACAGCTTTGGATTAAACTTGCATACAAATACTTGAATCAAAATGAAGGGTGAGTCTCATACATTTTACATCTACATTTTTGATTTTGTGCTTTTGTGCTGCTATAATCCAAGTTTCCTTCCAGATGTTGAAGAACTTTCTTCAACAATGCCACAAATAATTATTACTTAAAAGCAGATTAAAAAAATAGATTAGACTTCCTACTGTATGCAGTACAGTATGTGAATAATACATTACACTGACAGTTTATCTTTGGGTAGGTTCTGATTCCGAACGGAAGCTGATGGAAATTAGTATGGGAGAAATAATTGTTTGTGTTTTGAAAAGTGCACAACCTAATGTATTCCCAAGATTACAGCAGAATGTTTTACTTCCAATGATGAAGTGGTGGACCAATAAACTCAAATCAGTTTCTCTTCTACAAAGCAGATGATTGGAGTAATGTTTGAAACTACTTTCATCAGAAGGCTTTCTTATAAGAAGAGTTCTGCTGTATGGTTTTATCCCTGTAGAAATGGTCCAGTTGAGCACTCAGTTTTTTATTTTGTACCTTTTTAACTTTTGGATTTCTAAGTTTCTCTAGTTTCTGTTCCTTTAAATTATTCTGCAGGGTACTGTGTTTTTACTGGCAATCAGATAATTTTGGTAGGAATTCTGTCACTATGGTTTCATTCTAGAGATTGACTTAGATTTTAATAGTGAGGTACTGGCTTGAGCAGCTGCTGCAGCAGGGAGGAAACGGAATAGAGAGGAGCAGCTCTCTTTCAAAAGCCTTGTGTAAACTGTGGAAAATGGAAAATGTAGGAAAAGATCAATTTAGGTATATCAATAGCTGCCTGAATACTAGAAGCGATATCACAGAATCACAGAA